TATGTTTTAGTCTGTTACTAAATACTAGCAGGAAACTAAAATGGATACTTACTGCAGATGTTTTCTTTTACTGGCTAGGCTATTGAGAAGCAAGGAAACATGCTACTAAGGTAAGAAATAATGAAGAAAGGTGAATGCCAGTGCATAATACAGTTTAGGAGTTGGCTTTGTAGGCAAAAGCCTGAGAACACTGACCTGATATGTTTTCAGAAATGGTGCATACATTTGTGGCAATTATTTGCCAGTCAAATAAACCAGCTAACATGTAAAAATCAGCACCATGCTTTTATTTGGGAAGCACTCAGCAGCTGTCAGTGACAAAATGCAAATTCAGAACAATGGATGGGAAAATACCAACTGTATAAATAAGGAACAGCCAAAAGAATCATGAAGGAAAATGCCACCAGTGCTGTTGCTATTACACAGCGAGACTTGGAGGCTGTTGCCAAACAGTCTCGTGCCAGTCAGTACTCCCAAAGATGATCTATCAGTGCTTCAAAAGGTTGACTAACGAATTCAATCAGTTGGTCACTGTCACAGAACTAAAGAATCAACATATTTTACATGATATATCAAGCAGCTGCCTTTTCTGATGTCATTTGGTTTAGATCACCTGTCAGATGCAAAGAGGCGAGTCCAGCATTGTTAGCCAGCAGTGGCTGGCCACTTAGTGCAAGTACCTCTGGAAGGAGGAGCATCCTTAGGAGCTGAATGTGTTCAATCCCAAGAGGATCAGAATTTGCCCTGTTAGGGCTAGGTGAGTTTAACATGTTGAAAACATTATACTATGTTTAATATCAATGTAGACATCAAAAAGAGTCCCATTGCGGAGTCATGTTAACTGTGCTAAGGAAATGGCGGCATTTATTAGAATGTTGTTAGTTATTAGTGTAGAAATTCCCTATGAGTACCCTGCAATTTTTAGTCCCTGTTGGTAATAGCTCATAGAACTGGGTTCTATTTATAGCCTTAGTATAAATTTTCTGAATGCAATTATTGATTTCAACTTAGTTTAATTTTATTGCTAGTAATTTAGCTAAATAGCAGGGTAAAGAGACTTGATTCTACCATCACCAACAAAAGGGTATATAACTGAAATAGGGCCTGATATGCTGTTAACCAATTAACATTTTTATTCTGGGGCCAAGAAATACACATTTGCCTTTAACAGAATGACCGACCAAATTGCTGTCAGTCAGCCAATCTGATAAAGGTCAACTACTGAAAACCCAGGCTGTCAGTACACAAACTAAGTGACCTGGGCAGTCATAAGTTCATTTGTTGCTTTGAAAGGAAAATACACTGTTTTAATAGATGCATCTGTTGTGCATCAGTTACTAAACTTTTAATGAACTTTTAATGTACAAATAGTAATATCAACTTTCCTAGTGATACTTCTTGTTCATTGGGGCTTCTTTGGGTATCTTGGCAACATAAACTTGGTATAAATAAAACTATATGTTTTAAGCCCTTTAAAATGTTGTTTACTTTAGTCAAACAACTCTTCTAAAAATTTAAGCTGGCTGATTAAAACTGACGCTATTCCTAAGGTAAGCAATTATTTTGTGTAGAGATTTACATTTCAGATTGTAGAATAAAACTTCAACTGTTGTTTACCTGTTTTCAAATTACTTAAATCTGAAAAGGTTTTAAGCACGTTTACTTTCTTTAGAGTGCTGACCTGGCAAACCTGGCTGTGGGACTGGCTGCAGGGGAGCTGACTGATGCTCTCTCATGGTCATGTTCACTGAAAAAAAAGGGCCAGGACTGGGTGCCACAGACAGGAGACACTTGTAGAGTAACTTTTCTATGCAAAGAAGTTTGCACAGGAAAAGCTTATCAGTCAGTACAAAGAAATTCCCTTATGTTCTTGGTTAGGAGTTGTTTTATTTATCACAGTCTTGCTTATATCCCTTTTAAGAAAAAAATTAAAAAAGATGTCATCCTTTAAATGTGATTGCTTGCGATACCATCGGCTGGACACATGTTTAACTCTGGAGTCCGCTTGAATAGTTGCATCACTACACTGATCTAAATCTCTCCGTGCCGTGTCTGCCCTGAGGGAGTATTTTGAGTCTGTTGCAGCATTTCTCATACCAAAGAACAAACAGCATTTCAAGATGTAGGTAGCTTTTGTTTTTGTAGAAATTTGAGGAACTCACAGCTCCCAGTAAAACTATTATGAAAACTAGATGTTCTGTCTTCATAGGCAAGTGGCATATTTTTTTCTTTTAACATCCATTTTGCTTTTCTGAAGTACCAGAAATGTACATTATTTATTTGAAAGAGGGAAGCTGCTTCCCCTGCTAAGCTGTGGGTGTCTTAGCCATGTCTTTTGTCCTCTCACTTGCCACAGTTCTGGTGTTTGTTATCTGCAGTCACTTCTTTCATAAGGATGATGGCTTTTTTACACCCATGATCTCCTTTTCAAATAAAAGTAAAAACCACTGTCATGGTTTTCCACAGACCTTAAAGGAATTAAGATTTAGTCTGACTTTAATGTAGGATATAATAATTTCTTAATAAAGATGGGAGTAGCTTGTTAGAATATAAATGCTGTGTGAAAGCACTGCACAAAAATCCTCAATAATAATGCTGAATATATCTACTTACACAATTCCTATAAATAAATGAGTACTGAAAATGGCTGCTAATTATTCTGTGCTCAAATAGTGCCCATTTCAGAAGCTTGAAAAAACAATTTATTATTGTTTGTTAAATCCTGATTTTATGCTTGTGTTTTTGTCTACTTCTCTTCCCTTATTAAGCTGCGGATGAGCAGAAGTATTTCTGGTTTATGTGCTTGTTTGAGCAGAATAAACACTAATGTCAGCATTACTGTAGAGAAGTAGTTGATACCTGCAGGCTGCCAAACAAGCAAGATGGTATTTTTTCCCCAGTTTCTATAGCGAACTGTACTATGAATGCATACATGAGCATATAAGCACATATTAACAGCACTTGAATACATATGTGTGACACTCAGAGACTAGTGTGTGCGAAGCTACAGTCTTATCTAAGGAGATGTCAGCTTCTCCAAAGTGGTTTGAAAAAAGTCAAGCTGGCAGTATTTTGGGGCCTGAAGCCTAGAGTTTTAGCCATCACATCAATCTCTTTCTTTCAACGTCCCTGGAGGATACAGAGGATGTTTATCTGGCAGCTTGTTCTACCGCAGTACTCCACTGTCTGACAGACCTTTGGGGGTTTGTGCCATCATTCTTCCTTTCTTTCCCATCTTTGTCCTTAGTGTCACCAGAGGGATGAGGAGAGAAAAGCTGAATATTGGCACACTGATTCCTGTCCCACGAGGATTCACCTCAAGCAGCTGTGAAGGAAGGGCTTGTTCGCCATGATCGATCTAGAAGAAGTTGGTTCCTTGGACTAATACATCTTTCCAAATACAAGTGTATCTACCTCACCAATCCCAGAGGTTCAGAAAAGTGGCCTCTCCAAAAAGTCCTCAAGTGAGAAAGGAAAATGAGCAACAGCACAGAAGCTCCTATTTATGCAATTTTTTAGCCTGATTTCTGATTTCCTTTGGAGTGAGAGCGCCTAAGAGTGATGATGGATGTTGCAATAAACTACAGATTTGCAACAATAATCTTGGGGTGGTGAGCATAGTCAAAATAGTTGTAAAGAAAGAGTTAAAAAATGGAGGAAGATACACTTGAGTTTTTATTCCTCACCCCTTTCTGAACTTACCTTGCATTGAGCAGACATCAGATAATATCATTATGAGATGGAATAGCTATTTCTTGCTCTTTATTTATCACAGAGCTAAATCTATTTTTTTTTTAATAAGGAGGAGCAAACCAGAGTAAGGAATTAAAAATATGACTTTAAAAACTTTGTAGAAGGGATATTTATTAGGTCATTTGGACCAACAGTACTGTCTCGATAACAGAAAAGTTTATCAATGTGTAAGTGCAATAGAAATGTTTCTATTACATCTATAAAGAATAGTAATTGTAGAGCTATTTTTGTCACACATTAAAGCATTTCTCCCCCAGAGCAGTTTTTCCTCAAAAGCGGGAAAAGTTTCATGCATCAGTTTTTATGAATTGATTTGATGGCTGTCATCTGTAACAGCTACATCTGTTGCTGAAGAGGGACAAAATAAAACTAGCAGACAGCAGAGAAAGCAGAAGCAAATTAGATTTTAAAAGTCTACATCAATTCTGAATCTCATTTGCACTTTGCAATGCAGGTGTCAAAATCTATTTCTTAACAAGTATCTTTTAAAATCAGATTGTGCTCCTTTAAATTACTTAAATAAGATTTGTGCTACTTTTCTGCTTCACAGACCTCCTTTTTCTTAGAAGCGAACTTATATTGCTTCAGAAATGGAAACATCATGTGACAGTGGGGAAGGGCCATATTGGCAGCAGAGAGCTCATCCCTTCCAGGGTCACTTCACAGAAACCCTGCATTTCTCAGTGTTGGGATGAAAAGGCATGACGAAAAAACATGTGTTTTCCAGGGGGAAAGTAGTTGTCCTAAACTGTCTCAGTCCCCTTCTTTCAGTCACTTCTAATACGTGTTCAGCTCTCAATAATATTTTTTTGTAACTCAAATAAACTCCCTTGTTTGAAACTGTTTCTACATATAAAGATTTATAGTACTGGGAATAAAAATAATCATCTGGACTTCATTAAGATTTTCCTGGCAAGTAATTAATGCTGAAAGCATGTTTTGATTAAGCATCTCCAATAGCAGCAATGCTAAGTGAGTTGAAAGCAGCTAGCATTATAGAAATAGGTCTACACGGTCTCCTAAAGTTTCTGCTAGTTTTTCCAGCCCTCAGCAAATGGTGGTGCTAGTACCTTATTTTTCATTTGCTGTGTTTCCTCATTTCATGGTCATATCAGCCTCTTGGTGACTGCCAATGAGCAGATCTCATCACAGCTGAAAATTCAGGAACATGTGCAAAGAAGCCACCCAAATGGACAAGAAATTTGAATATTCTTTCTCCTGGCTTTTTGCTTTAGAATGAGAAGCCTGCAGGTAAGAATTTGTCCAAGTAGGTAATTAATTTTTTTTTTGCTTTGTTTCTGTTTTGATTTGTCTGTTGTGACTTAATTGCATGTCTATATTTATATGTACAGTAAGTCAATGTAGGTTTTTCTGTGCTACACGTATTGTGCATTTGTGTTCTAGACTATCAGAGCAGGACTCTGCCTATGCCTGATTTTGGGAGAATTGGCTTTGGAGCAATAATCAGTAAGATGTAGGGTGCCCTTTTTCCAAAGCAGCAATGACAGCTTATCTACTGTACTCCAAGAAAAATACATAGTGTACAGCTCCCTGTGAAGTTACATGTTGCAGAAATCCAGAAACACCCATTGGCACCAAAATAGTCTTTTACACAGTGCACTGGGCTGAGGAAGTACCTGTGAGATAACCTTACCCTTAGTAATAAATAATAACTATTGTCTAGATTCAGTGTGGTTATTGAGTATATTGAAAACTATCAGCTACAGGTTTAGGTTTGGAGAAATTTCCAGAAAGTACTGATGACTTAGAACATATAATGTAGCAGCAAGTGTACAACTACTGTTAATTTCAGCCATTGAAAATTACAAGCTGGAAAAGCCGTTATGAGTTGTTTTGAGAGGTTCGTGTTTTATCATCAGCTTGAAATTGTGCTTCTGGCTGTTAGTCACTGGGCTGCCAAAATTCAAGTGGCCTGAAGTGTGGAAGCTACTGGACCTGCAGGGCAGTAACGGGAAGGAGGTTATTTTATGGCTGATCTCCCTGCATATGTAGTGTGTTTCCCTATGATAAAGTGGTTATATCAGCCCCACCTATTAAAGTTGTCTGACACTTCCCATTACAGTCTGTTTTCAGATGCTTATAATACAGTCAAACTATAACTGTCTGAGTTGAAATCTGACTTCTCATGCTGGAGTGGTGAAGTGCTTCATGAAGAAATTAATCAAAATTAGTCCCCCATTTTTTTTTTAATAAAGCTAGAGAAATCTCTTCTGTATGGAATTCTAAATGTAGCTGTGGGATCTTTGATCTGCAGGTCATGATTTCATGATCTCATTAGTGGGAGGACAGTCAGTGTAGGCTTTATATTAATGTAGAAAATGTGGACCTTAGTGGATTTTTTTCACATAAAAAAATACCTTTGGCAGCTTTGTGGGTTGCCAAAGGTATTTTCAAGTCCTGTTTGGTTCTCATTAAAGGAAACTTTCTTGCCTGAGTGCATCTGTGTTTTGAGTGGAGACTTGACACATGGAAGAGAAGTGGCCATTGGCTAAAGGACAGCTTTTATCTCTGCAAAATCGGACCAAATCTGGCAAAGCTGTAAGCTGCTTAAAGAAAACATAATTCAAAAATGCTCATGCTTGCTAGATGTTTTCAGCCTTATTCCCCATAGTTTATCTCTGTGTGCCCAGGCTGAGACAGTTCAGGGCTGAGCAGATGTCTCCTGTAACTGAAGTTCTCAAACTGTTGCTGGCTATGCTGGCTCTGGATATCACTACAAAGACCAGGGGCTCTTTTTCTTCATTGTCAATGCTTTATAAAATTATAATACAAAAAAATAAAATTTTAAAAGAATAACAGAGGAGACTCTGAACTTGGCCCAGGGACCAAGGCAAGAGACTAGGACAAAGGATCTGGTTATAGAAGACCACAAAATACAGGAACTGGGGGCTTATGGGGTAGTGAAAACTGAATATTTGGGTTACTCTGCTGGGTAAAAACACCCAGGATTTAGTGGTCTGGATCAGCTGGACAAAGAGATTGGGGTAAGGAATGAGAAAGGGAGTTAAGGCATAGATAGGAAGGACTGGAATGGTGGAAAAAAAGTTCCATTCTAGTGTCTATGAGAAGATGAACTCCAATCAGAAGGCTAAGCAGTAAACACTAAAACTGGCTAAGAAAGACAAAATAGGAAGAGTTATGTGTGAAGAAGCACCAGCCTAAGAAAGACTGTGTAACAGAAGGGACAGAAGACGATTTTGTAGTGGATCCGTATTTCTTAGTCCTTCATGTGAATTGAGGGATCAAGAAAGCTGCACATAACTGAAGTTTTGTGAAAGGAAGGATGTTAGTTTGTTTTTCAAACCAAAAAAACTACACAACATCTATTTTAAACGCATTTGCAATTGTGGAGCATCAGAAACTCAGAATGAGTAGATTCCAGAGATAAAATATCCCCAACAGCCTTAATTTTGGCCTTGTTTGTTTACTTCCAGAAAATGTTTCTCTTTGCCTAACACATGCCCAAAATGGGGGGATTGAATGGTCTGTGAAAGTTCATGTCAGAGTTATTTTAATGTTATGTAAGGCCAACATTAAGGATTTTAATAAATATATCACACTGGCTAGTACAAGGCCCCTTGTTCTGAGCTAAATAGTAATTCAGATTTTAGAAAAAATTATAAAAGAAATAATTCTTAAACCTGAGCTATTCTGTTGGAACAAAGGGGAAAATGAAATTTATGTTAAGAAGTATGCAGCAAAGTGGCAATGCAAATGTACAGATGTGAACAATAAAGATAACTAAGTTTAGCTTTGCTGTTGCTTTACTTTGAAAGTTTGCAACTCTGTTCTAATTGTTGTGATGGAGGAAATTACTCGGTTTTCTCCACAAGACAGTCCAGCAACATCATAATATGCATGCAGAGTGGATGATGCTGGACCAGTACCCAAGAATGAAACCAGGAGTCACTAAACTGCCCCTGTAGACATTACCTGATGGTGTGTAAAGGCTGTGCATAGCTTCCACGTGAATTTGAATTACTACCACGAAGTCTGGTGAGTATTTTTTCACCACAAGATCAGTATTTAATTAAAATTACACACATAAAAACATGGTGCTTCCCCCCCCCAATATTAGCACGTGTGCATACAGGTTTATTTTACTTCTTGAATTTGCTTGGGAGAATGAAATGTTTTGTGTATCTAATTTTTGCAAGTTTGTTTCTGTTTGAAGATTTTGCCTGTTTATTGAGCAGTAAATGAGCTTCCTGACAGAACAAAACCCTCACACATTCCACTATTCTTTACCTGATGCTGGCAGCCTGGACCCAGAGAAGGTTCATTTTTGTTTTTAAAGAAAAGAACCTAAATTAGGTACCTGTCAGGAATGGTCTCTGGTTGTCTACTCGATGGAAAGGGTTTAACGCTTTTCACTAATTAGATAGGAAGTGAAAATGAGATATGCGTCTCTAGAGTAAAGTTACATTGTCAAATTAAATTCACCAGTGTGATATCTCTCCGTAGTCACCTGTCACTATTTAGTGAGACAGTCTTGTTCACGCTCACTGCTGCAGAGCTGTCATGAGAAGGCCTTAATGATGAGCCTTGTTTTCATTAGATGCAACAGCTAGTGCTCATATACTTCTGCTTGCAAAATCAGAGCAAATTCTACCACACGCAAAGTGAAGGTGTGTGATTTTATAATTTATGAAGTAGATGGTGAATTCTGGTGAATAAGCTGAAGCTTGAGTTCCCATTAGGTCATGGCAATTGTAATGTTAAGAAGAGAGAGACAACAAACTAAAAATATGTTTTAATTGGAAAAAAGTTGTGATTATGCCTGTTCCTAAGAGCAAATTCTGTGTTCTGTGCTGATAGCCCCTTGATGCAATTTTGAATTCGGAATAAGAGCTTCAATTCTGTTATTTCCCCACTTTGTATGCCCTAAGCAGAAAACATCAGCAAGGCAGGATTTAACTTTTTCCAACCAAGTAGCATACAAATAAAACCATATGACTATGAACAATAGCTCTTGTGTCCTATTCCTGCTATTTGCAGGTCCATATATTGGTTCTTTGGCTAGCTATCAAAACTCATAAAATGCTTTTAAGCATCTGTGTCCCATTAAAGCCACATGTTATGCTACATCAATAAGAAACCGTAGAAGTGCAGAGCTGACAGGGATTTTAGATCACTTTTTTTTATCTCTGTAGACTGGGAAAGGATCAAGCATGCCACCCTGGAAGATACTAAAAGCACTGAGGGGAGGAGGTTCCAGATCTCTTTGGATAGACTGTTTTGGCATTTCCCTTCTCTGACTGTTAGACTTTGTAGTATCCAGCCTTAGTTATTTTGCAATTTTTTTTCGCATGGTGGACACTGTAAGATATTGATTACTTTTCTTTTATAGTGCTCTATTACTTATTGTAAGTTCAGTGTCATATCTGTTCTCAGTCTCCACGTCAGAGCAAAGAAACCCAATTAGTACAGTCTTTTTTATCTTTTCATCGCCTTTCTGTTTAAATCCCCTAACACTGTTACAGTCCTCTGGATTCTGATTTAAATTTTTCTTGGAAATGGATGAAATTAATTCTTCATCTGAGGACACAAATATTCTTTGGCTTGTGTTTGTGCATTTGATTTGATTATATTCTATAATAATTCTATAATTTAATATGAATATGAAACATAGAAATGAGTATTTGTCCCTTGGCTATGGTCTAAACAAAAGGAACTGTAGAACAAATGGGTCTGAGTACTAAAAGAATTACCTTTTTTACAGTATTTTTTAAAAAACAGATTACGCAACTGCAGGAAGGACCTTTGTTAGCAGTGTCTCTTAAATAACAAATTTCTCAGTTTTGTTCATGCACTGAGATTAAATGGGGAACAATTAAGTAGGTGAAAACTCATCACCCTAAAAATAGACAAATTACGGAGTTTTTGATAAAAATCTGCAAAGTTATGCATGACGCTGACTGTTTATCATTCCTTTCAGTACATGAAAACTAACAGAAGCCAAATTCAAAACAAACAGAAGTTGGGTTTATTTTTCTATAATGCAGCAGTCATGCAGCAAGTTAATGTCAAAGCATGTTTTGGATAATTTACATGTGTGATAGTTTACATGTGTTCAAGGCAATGTGGAGAAATTTGTGGAAAAGATTATGTAAATGGTTAGTAAGTGGATAAACTAAGGTCAGTGAATGGACAAAGCAGATCCATTTCAGGAAATATTTTGACATGAGAATAGCTGGAGGGTATTAAGGTACTCAGAAATATCATATGTACTTATTCCCTGAGCAT